TTTTGAAAAAAAATGGGGTTCAAACAAGGTTTTAATTAATAATTTTCATATAAATAAATTGTTGACAATTGAATTGTCTAAAATTTATTTTCTTTCCAACCGGACGTTCCCTTATTTTAAATGTAATTATGCTAAGCACAATTACTTAATTCATAAGTTTGTCCAAGGTGGGACCCTTACCCTCAGGCGGGTCTTACCATATCTTGGCAATGATTTCTTTCTCCAAATCGTTACGGCCCTAATCCCCAAATTTCTATTGGCTAAACTGAAAAAACCTCAGATGACGCACCTGAATTCAAAACCCTCAACAGTGCAGTGAAAGTTCAAAGCAAAATCCAACTACAACTGTCTCCAACTGGACAACACGCGAACTAAAAATCTTACACAAACCTCAAAATATCTGAACCCAATGGGGCCCCATCTGTCCCCTCTTTCGTCCACACAACTTCTTCTTCAACTGCTAAAACGAGAAAAGAAACTACCAGGTTGGTTCTTAGCCTCCTTCCTCCTCCTTTCCTTTAATTCCTTTAAATTAATTTAGGTTTTATATTAATTATTTGTTTCTTAGTACTTTTTTCTTGTCCAGGAAAACGTGTGGAGAGGAAAACTGGAGATTGCTACAGTGACAGTTGAACAGGAAATGGAAATGCTAGGACAACCCTCCACCGCCTTATGGTTGCTGGCTGATATTTTTGGCTTCTGGGCGGCGGCAATACCTATATATACCCAACCCCACTACCTCTCACCGACCATTATACACTCCACAAAACTACCACCGGGATTTCCTTATATAATCTGCTCCAAAATCCCAAGAAACTAATTCAAGAACCATACTTTAGATAGGAATGGACCGTGAAGATTATGAAACCCTGTTTTCTTCTTCTTCTTCTTCTTCTGGAGAGTCTGATATTCCTATACCGCCTAACACGATGCCGATTTCTTCATCGGAATCCTTCTCTTTGCCTTTGTCAGTGGTACCTCCATTTCCTGAACTACCAGAGCCCTCACCTCTAATAAGCTTTCATTCTTTTCCACCCCAGCTTGAATTCAAAGGTGCCATTCCAATTGGAGAAACTGCAGCTCCGAGTACTGTAGGAGGTGCTGGGGATTTATTTGGTGAGCCACGGCCTATGGAGTCCTTGCATGGGACTCCAATTCCTCCTTTCTTGTCCAAGACTTTTGATTTGGTGGATGATCCTTCATTGGATTCTATAATTTCTTGGGGAGCAAAGGGGGATAGCTTTGTTGTGTGGGATCCTGTGGAATTTGCAAGGATTATTTTGCCAAGGAATTTCAAGCACAACAATTTTTCAAGCTTTGTTCGGCAGCTTAATACATACGTGGGTATCCATTTAATTTAACTCTGGGATGCTCTTGGTCTACATATCTATTGATTCTTGATTTCGTTTTTCCATTGCTCTTGCTTTAGTATGTATATTCTTCTGTAATTTTTGTGTTTTTTCTATGTACTTTATGGAATCCATTTCTTGTAAAGTTTTTAACTTTATTTCTTGTAATTGTATTTAGCTAGATGTAATAGAAGATGTAGAGCAATTTTAGTACTGATTGATCGTGGGATTTTTGTACTGAAAGACGGAATAATGTAATTTTGTATAAAATACATTTATTTATTTGAGCAATTTAATCTTGGATGAAGTTATTGTATTAAATTTTTGGGTAAAGTTCATGTTGTTTTTGTAATCTTGGTGATGTAACGGGTTTTTTATAGTGAGTAGATCCTAATAGTATGTTAGTGTGTCATCCTTTTCAATCCGACCTGTATATAGTGCTGAGATGCTACAATATTCTCCTTCGAAAATAAGAACACGATCTCCTTGGACTGACTGCTGATATTTGGAAGTCCATCTATTCACAAGGTAGCATTTAAAGCTCTGATGAACATTTCCTGAGTTTGATGCATCTGATTACATTCTTTGGGACCGATAAAGATTTGTACTGATTTGTGTATGTTTAGTACCATGCAGCTCCTAGTACTCGTGGATATTGACAATTTGGATTTGACTTGTGACTGTATAGTTATTTTCTTAGGACAAAATTCTTTATTAATCTTGATAAATTTCTTTAATGCACAGTAGTTTGTGACTCACTTTTTGGTACTTGTATACAGGGATTTCGTAAAATTGATACTGACAAGTGGGAGTTCGCCAATGAAGGATTCATAAGAGGGCAGAGACATTTATTGAAAACTATCCAGAGACGAAGAACGCCTCAATCTCTGCAGATTGGAAGCTCGTCTGGATCAGCTAGTGAGGCTGGGAAAACTGCATTGCAAGGCGAGTTGGAACGTTTAAGGAAAGAGAAAAGCTCAATGATGCAGGCTGTGGTTGAAATGCAGCATCAGCAGCGGAATACATTTCAGCATATGGAAGTTGTTAATGAGAAACTCCAGGAAGCAGAGAAGAGGCAGAAGCAAATGGTTTCGTTCTTGGCTAAAATGTTACAGAATCCAGCATTTGTAGCTCGTCTTCAGCAAAGGGAGCAAAAGGGCATAACTTCACCAAGAACAACACGAAAATTTTTAAAACATCAACATGAATCAGATACACCTGAGTCTTCTCTCAAGGGGCAGATTGTGAAATATAGACCGGAACCAAGAGATTTTGCTATGGCTTCTGTATTTCCGGACTTCAATCCTGATACAGTCAAACAATTTGATGATTATTCTTTACAAGATACAGAAGAAAACCTTGCTTTTGGTGCAGAGAGTGTTCCATTCCAGACTGAAAATACTGATCGTGATGCAGTGTTGCTGCAACATGAATTTCTAACCCCTGAACAAGCTGGAGGAGTTTTAAGTATGGACACTCTAGATCCGTTTAATAAAGGAAAGAATGTAGTGAAACCCGAGAAACGAGTCACACCCGAGCATGTAATCTCTTTTCCTGACGACTTGGCTAGGGAGAAGAATTCTCTTGAAATAGCGTTGCCAGGAATTCGAAGTATGGTCAAAGAAGAGGGTGAATGGAACTTGGGTTTTGAAGCCAGTGCTGGTATGTCTAGTTCTACGAATGTCTTATGGGGTAATCTTAGCAATTATGACATGCTGGAATTAGGGGTTAGCAGTGGCATGTCTGATATTTGGGATATAGGTTCACTGCAGCCCTGGGGAACTTCAGGCATTGAGATGTGGCCAGACGAAGACTCACCCTTGAAAGAGCTAGAGGACCAAGCTGGCCTGTCTAGAGATGATAGTTCTAAGAAAATGGACCCATAGGGTTTATAGTTGCTTCTCTTTTGAGTCCTAGCATAGTTGGATTGATTTCCCTTACGCTATTAAACAGTTCATCACATATTAATTGATTAAATATTTACATTTTATGGTTATTTCAGTTAATTCCAAGATCGTCATTTGTTTGCAGTGCTTAAACTTTGTAAATTCGTGACAGTAATATGCAGAAATTTCCTGCTAACAGGTGTATTTAAAGTTATGGATGTGCAGGTTTTGAGCAGCTTCAGACAATCAGAAGGTGCAGTCGGGCCACGGCAGGAGTTTGTGTTGCGAGTCAGGCAGAGGCTGTAACAGGTAAAGATTTTAAGAAGACGATCTGGTAAATTTACTCAAAAGAGTTGGTTGAAAAGTACAGTTGATATGATGTAAAGTTTTACCAGTGTTTTGACACTGCTGCTATATTTCTCTCTTCCTGACCCCCTCTCTTCGAAAAAGGACTACGAACAAGGATAAAGGTAGTTTCTCTTATTTCATTCGGTTATTTAGAGATGCAGCCTTGAATTTCATGTGTGATTTAAGGGAAAACAATTGAGCAAACTGAAAACATAAAACATTTTGTGAATGACCAGGCACTATTTTTGTCCATTAATTAAAACTTTCCTATAGTAATTTTAACTAGTTCAGTGTCCAATACTTGTGGGCTTTACATTATAGTTTCTTCTTTGTTTAAGCAATGTCAACAACATTCTTGATTAATTCATTGTTTTAGATTCTTTGAGATAGTGTATAATTCCACCTAAGCTCGGATGTCAAGTGAGTCGGTTCGGGCATTTTAATACCCGAAATCACACATTACAACAATATTCATGTGAACAACATAATAATCAACATTGTCGACTTTTCTTTTCATCCCGCCATTCCCTCTGCATTCCATTGGATCAAGGTGAATAAGCTGTTCAATTTTTTATAAAAAACGGTAAAATCAATTTCAGATGCATTCTGGATCATTGGATCAAGGTGAATAAGCTATTAAATTTTTTTTATAAAAAACGATAAAATCAATTTCAGAATCAGGTATTCACGATCCGGTTCAAGAATATTTGGAACCCTGTCTATTGTCAATTTTGAGGCAACACGCCCTTGATTTCTAATTTTTGTTTCTAGAATTCGACCAAAGCTTCTAGTTCCAATTCTATTCCGATTTGGGGGTTTGATTGCGTTTAAAATGCCTGCTCCTAATTCTACGGTACTTAGTTTAAGCTTTTATTTCATCAAAATCTCCCCTTTCACACCATTATTTCTCAAAAGAAACAGAAACTTGCATCCTAATATTTCTTCATGCAAAAAGGAAAACTACATCAAGAAAAGCAGTGTTCTGTCCCTCCCTCATTCATGCACTAATCAATCTCTCCTTTGTTCTTGCTACGAATTCGAAACCAAATGGAGCTACAATGGCAACAGAAGACCTCTATAGTTGCATATCAAACTATTCTACGAAATTTAGTAAAATCCCCCTCTTATCAAATCTACTGCAGGGGTCTAAGGGATTGTGCCATGTACACCAATGCATACCCAAAAAATGAGTGAAATTCGTTGACAGGAAAGAAAATTGCAGATCAAGTTACTGTTACAAAAACTTGAGCAACATCAACAGAGACGCACATTCAAAATGGGTTTTGATATAAATCTTTTTTCCCTTTTGTTGGACACAAAACAAGAACTGTTTGATTTGCCTGTGTTTCCATTCTGGTATTGACAGATAATCTTGTCTAAACAATAATTTAAAATGGCATATAATTGTAAATATACATTTTGCCAACTTCTATCTTGATTCTCTAAAGTTCATATGAAATATTATTTACACAAAAAAGCCTGCAGAAATATACGATTAGAGATGCTAAATTAAACCACTGAAAAATAATTCCTCGAGCAGCAGTTCAATCCATCACACCTCCAAGCTGAACCACATGCTCTGTGTGCCGAACATTGTAAAACCTACTGTATCCATATCAATGCATAAGAATTTTGGCTTCTTCATCTTGACTCCATTCAAATTTTAAAGAAATACAAGAGAGAAGAGGTCACGGGAGTCATCTGGCACGACAAGACAGAATAACAAGTAGACGCTTTCACTTATCTAGTGATTAGTCACATACCTCAAATTTACAAATTATAATCAGTGGCGTTCACCACTCATCATACATACCCAATTCCATAAAGAGAGATCTTTCATAGACACTACATATATAATTAAGGTTAGTTAGATTATTGTCTTAAATTATCCTCATCTTTTATTTTATTAATATTAACGTAAACTATGATAGAAAAGCAAGTATCAGCTCAGGATTTGGCAAATCTATAAGAATAAAGAACCCCCCTCAAAAGATTTTGTGGCAATGCTCAAGCAAAAAGGTATATTTATACAACCTTTCAAATTATATCGTCCACTAGCTCGCTAATAAAGCTGCTATCTATTAACTTCTAGACCTGTCCTGAACCCGTAATTCTTGTGGGGATCACCTAACTTGCAAACCAACATGATCACAACAATTTTTGACCAAGTATTAGGAAAGGCAATCCGAAATTATACTTTATAACAAGTTATTAGCATTCTTTTAACAAAATGAAGAACTGATTTCCATAAATCAAATGGCCAATTCATATTGGATCATTTACAGGACATTTAAGGGGTAATTTAAATTGGAAAAATTCCATTCAAGTTGACTATACTTCCACTTAGTGTCAATCTGGTAACTGTATTCAATATTATTCAATCAGGCAACTATATTTTAATTTGATTTCGATCGGGTAACTCCACTTGAGTTTGATTTCAATCAGGTAACTAAAATTCGATAAGATTTCAATTAAGGTTACTTCATCCAATTCCAATAATTGTCATCGCATGGAACCGTCAGTTGCCAAAGTGGAATGCGGATAACTTTATTGAAATAAATGACAACGATCGTTTTTTGATTTGTCACATCATCAAGAACAAGTTAACACGTAGTTACCTAATTGAACCTAATAGAACAAAATTGATGTAGAGTAGCTGACTAACACAAAATGAAACTATAGTTACCGAGAATCGGAATTTACCCAATTTAAATTCCTTTAGAACAGATTTGACAGTTTAAAACAAGTACAAGTCAAGCGTCTAGATAGACAAACCTTATACAGACCAAGTAATCTTTAAGCCTGAAATTGGATCCAAAAGGATGTCACGCACACAGACAATATAGACTTCCCTGTTCTCCACTCTTTTTATGTGAGTAAATGCATTTCAACGCGATCTGGTTCGGTTGTGGGGGGAGATTTAATCAACGGTTTGAGTGATTCCACTATACTGCAAAATGGGGGGCGTCTCCATGCCTCTCTGCAGTATGAACGACTGAAGTCAGTTAAAAAGTTGATGTTTTAAGACTAAGGTAGGTCCATGTTTGAAAATATATTTGAAGAAAACAAACAGTTAAAACTTGCTATAGCTAAATTAGAAGTCAACAAAACAAATATGCACACAGCACACGTATATATTGAATGGAAGTATTTAAATAATTTTGAGAGAGAAGAATTAAATACGGCTCGACATTGAAAGTTTTAATTGTTGAACCAAGTAGTAAAATATCTCCAGCATGAAATGTATAGGAAACAATTTTAGGTTTGAACCAAGTAGTAAAATATCTCCAGCATGAAATGTATAGGAAACAATTTTAGGCTCAAACCAGGCAAACCAAAACTGATAACCTATTTGTATTAGGTAGCAAACCCCTAAAATTAAGTTCAGGCTTATGACTTATCCAAACCTCACATATTAGTAAATGAGACCATATTCACTCACTTGGCCCAGCAGGCTTCTATTAAAGCTGCTACTTGAGGATTCACGTCGGATGGAATTTCAAGCCGTTTTCCCTTGAAACCAACAGCTGCTACAACCTACAACATATATTTAAATATCTTCATAGAAATGAGCTAAGAGTAAATAACTAAAAGAAACAATAAAGCACTGCAGGAACCCAGAGTAACCACAAAATTGGAATTACTAAAATGTCTAGTGCAGGAAACAGTTGTGTAAAAAACTGGAAACTCAACTTAGACCAACTGCAATCTTTGTGAGGAAACCGTTGTTTATTTTGTTTCCTCTTTTTCTTTTTCAATTTACAGGTTGGACCCGCACATGTCAAAATATTCTCAAAATCAATCTACCGCAGCAAAGGCATTTGCTAGGCAAAGCCCTCCCCCACCCCATGCAAACAGGAGTTCTACCTCCACTACAATGTTGTGTATGTGACCCATATAGAGAGGAACACATGTTTACTAGATCAAATAGGCCGATGCCGCAGAGGATCGCACCAAACGGGCGAAAATAAAAAAGCATGAATAAATATGGAGCAGTCTATGCACGCCAGTAAACATGTAGGCACAGAGGAAAGGACCAGCAACAACACAAACACTGATTTCTTTCACAAATCTCCAGCACTCTACTTTTTTCCCCTTCCATGTTTTTCAGAAAGGGGGAGGGGTGTTAGCTTGACAATCTAGCCTACCATGCAACTTACTTTCATTAACTTCTTAGAAAACAATTATCAGAAATTATGACCTATTGAATAGTCAATGCTTGACCTGCCTTACTACATTTGTGAAGTTACTTACCCTGTTTTCACAAGAATATCTTTTACATGTCGTAGTCACTTAATATATTAATAAATTTGAATCCATTTAAAAGTTGGAGCATGTCGGAAATTTAGCACTTTCTACTCCATTGAACATTACTTTCAATGTGAGATATAAATATATTCAGAATTAAAGTGATGCATCTCATCCATGATATCCAGGAGGAAAATAAATGCAACTGACAAATATTAACATGCTACTACTCATAAACTTTTGACACCTTGGGGTCGACCAACATTTCCAGTTTATATTCAAATTTTCCCCATACCCATAGTTAGCGCTTTCCATACAACAAACCCCATCTCCCTGTGGCCCTGCTTGACATAAATAATTTGCCTACCACAACAGCAAGGGTATGAGGCTTGAATTCCAGCATT